TACTGTATTGATTAGCATTTTCTGAACAAGGTACTTTTAAAATAGTTGCTAGAAATTTGGCAAAAACAGGATAATTTTTCTCAATATTCATATCCTCTGTCCTAACATATCCATGCCTATAAATGTATCCTCACAAACGTTTGCATAAGAGCATAAATATATATTTAAGAATATTTCTTATGGTATTGCTTATAATGAAAAAAATAGAAAAATCCCATTTATTGATGATTTGGTTAAATAATGTATCTAGTCAGGTTCTGATTTGATCTGGATAAATAAATACATTCATACAATGGGATGTTATATTAATTTCTATTCTAAAGAATGGTTGATGTATATGTACTAATTGGCACAGGACAATGTTCAAGACTGATTAAGCGAAAAAAGAAATTGTTAAACTGTGTATCTGACAATAATTATGTATTCGTGTAGGAGAAATGACTTCCTGTCCAGTATTTTGGACATGTTACCTATCAGGAGAGACCAGTCCCTGCAAAAGGACATCATGATTGGTAAAGTAGAAAATAGAAAGGCTGAGAAAGAGATGGAGACCTTTTACTGAGATGGATTAACCTAATGGCTGCAACAATGAGTTCCTGCAGGACAGTTGTGAGGCTGGTGCAGGACAGGGAGATGCTGGGTTCTGCTGCACTTTGGGTCCCTGATAAGGAGGGACTGATCTGATGGCATCTAACAACAGCATATGGGAAATTTTCACTTAAAAAAAGACCAAAGATAACAGAATGCTCAATATATAGCAGGCTCTGGACGAAGCCATTTACATCTCTTTACATCACTGGTTCCTTTCAATGTGCTCTTGAGAGATGTGGTCTTATTATTATATTATTTAATGTAAAGAGTTGACTCCCTGAATGGTTAGGCAAGTTGTCCAAGGCCTAGAAGCTAGAAATTGGTAGAATTGGGATTTAAATCCAGGCAATTTGGCTCTGTGGGAGAAAGACTTAGCAATCTGTTTCTGTAGAGATCACAGACTAGAAAAACGTAAGCGGAGCCACAGTCTGCCACAGAGCTGTGGCTTGGAAATACATTCAACTGTACCCAGTAAAAACAGCAATGTGACCCTAAAGGACACATAGTTTACCACTGTGTAGAGCGTCTCAGGATTTTCATATATATATATATATTCCAAAAAGTTCTTGGAAAATGGAATTAAAAGATAATGTAATTTTTTCACCAACTTTTTGAAGCCCTCATGTGTGTGCGTGCACATGCGTTCACATGTTCCAAATCAGCCCACTGTCATTGAGTTGATTCCAATTCATAGCAACCCATATATGGTTTCTGAGACTGTAAATGCTTCTGGGCACCAAAAACCTCATCTTTTTCCCGGGAGCAGGTGGTGGGTTTGAGCCACTGACTTTATAGTTAGTGGGCCAATGCCTTATCTACCAGTGCCACCAGC